AAGAAAATAACCATATCACACTAAGGCACCCCCCTTTAAACCCCTTTAGCCCCTTTAAATTTCATTTACACTCCCCTTTCTCCCCCTTGACAGCCAACACTCAAAAAAAGAAACGAGCCCGGGTGACCGGCCGGTCCAGACCGGCCGGTCATGAAAATCTTCCTAGCTTCCATGTAAATTAGTTGCGGCGTGCCTATGCATGCTACGCTTAGCGCTACCGTCTTCCCCCCAACATAGCGCACCCTAAAAATGAATGTATACAAGCTATATTTCCGGCCAGATACAGCCAAAATAAGGGTGCGTCGTGTTTGGGGGAAGACGGTAGTGGTGTCGCCTATCTAATCACGACTCGTGTGTTTGTGAAACTGTCCCACCATGCTTCATGTGATACGTTTAAAGCAATACACTTGTCAAGGTATTTGCCTCCACACCACTTTCTCCTTGTCTGATCTACCGCCCGAGATAGAACCTTAGTGGAAGGGTGCACAATTTCAAAAAGGGGTTTGGAAGGGGCTGCAGAGCGCTTTTGGGTGGTAATCCAGTAAGCGGCCAGACCCCCACTGTTCATTTGATTTCATTTGGAGCCGCACGAGTTAGGCCCTCTCAGAGAGAGTGCGCCTGTGCACATGTGTGTGTGTGTGTGTGTGTGTGTGTGTAAGAGTGAGGGGGAGTAAGCGCCTGTGCACACACACAATGTCTGGGCAGTGGGCAGTAGCAGGCGCATTAGCTTAGCAGAAGCTACAAAATGACATGACTGAGCGTGACAGCTCAACATCTTACCATTGTGCAGGGCAACACAGCCCTGAGGATATGGGGAACACAGCCCTGAAGACCTCTTTGCATCTACAAGGTGGAGGAAAAGTGGTTTTGCCAGTCAAAGATGCATTAATCGTGGAATTCCCCTAAAAAACACTGGCGCCATGTCGCTTGTTGCCAGCATGCCACTTCTGCTATTGCTCCTGCTTATGAATTGGTTTCATTGTTGTTCTTGTACTGCTGCATTAATTCATCGGGGCTGCCTGCACGAGAACGCGTTAATTCGCCGGGGCTGCGATGATGATGGCTGTCACTTCCCTCTGGCCATGGTTCCCTCCGTAAAAATCTGCCAATCGGTCTGTGGTTCCGCACGGGACAGCGCCCCCTCGGACCTCTTGCGTGCCACCGATTTTTGCTGGGTCCGGAGGGTCGTCAGCTGAGGACCGGGTTAGCCTTTAGGAGGTATATAGAAGATATAGAAGATATATATACAAATATATATATGTCGATAAAATCATAAAAGTAAATACCCACACTACTATACAAGGTAAAAAATGCTGCCAAGATATGCGTTTGAAATATTTGAACAAGGTGAGAATGGGGAGGAAAGCACAGCACAGCAGTAACAAATCAAAGCATGGCCAGACTTGAACGACCAGTACGCCAAGGGCCTGTTTTGATCTCTGACATTTTTCCAAAATGTTAAATGAATTGACCCAGACATGGCTGAAGCCCGTATATCCAAATGGCGGTCCCCTTGTACCCAGATGGGTTTCCCTTGCGTACTGGGGCTTTAAAGCACCAGTACTTCTGAGACAGAAACGCAGCGTGCGGCCAAAGAAAAACCGAGCCGCTGGCCGCCTTTTGGCTGGTGACGCCAGGCATTTTGCTCCTGTAGCCGACCCCTTGAAAAGTTGTGGTGGCATGCACGCCACTTTGAAAAATGGCTGGGAACGTACTGGTGGTTTAAGCCGCTAATTATGACAAAGCTGTCATAACAAATGAGGCAATTAACAAGGATGCTGCCAATAATCACAGAGTTCAAAGTGAGAAGTCCCGCGTTTACCCACGCAAAGGGCGCTTCATCCAAAAAAAAGCAACTATGAAACATCCTGTTGTTCGCACGATACACCATGATGTAGTGTCTATGGGTCATCAAGCCCATCAATGCCTGACACCTTACCCGTCAACTGTTGGTGGCTCAGCGCCGAGTCATCTTTTCCACCGCCTTCGCCCTTTCTCCCCCTACACCCCCCCGCGCACACTGAATAATTTTATTTATTTATTGATCACACATTCACAAGATATTGAGAGTGTTGTTGAAGTCTCTTGATGAATAAAGACCCCAACTTGCCTCCAATGCCCTCCATGCGATCATAACAAGTTAACCTTTTGCAATGCCGGTCCGGTCACGCACTTTGATAACTATAGGTGACCTTACGGTCACCCCGCCAAAAGTCAAAACCCCATTTCTAAGCTGATAGTTTTTTGGAACCCTTTTTTTTCCCCGAAACACGGTAGGTATGTTGATCCCTGAGCAAATCAACTCGCACGTTCGTCGCTGTCCCAAATCACACAGTAACTTCACAGAAGCAATAGCCAAAACTACATCCGTCTTTCGTTATAACTAAAAGGCATAGTCACAGTTGGACTTTTACGGTATTTATACTCGTTTAAGGACGCAATTGCAGTCAGATACATGCAGGTCCGGTCATAGTTGTGATCAGAAACATTTACGATAGAGCTAGTGTAAGTACTCCCTTACTCAGTTTGGAGACTCTGACAAATGTGACTACTGTAGCTCACCAATCACACAGCACGTGTTGCAGTCGATACTACCACTGCCGTGTGACTGCAGTTAATTCACTCAAGCTTTGGCTCACCAATCAAACGGCACAGTCGCTGCACAGTCAATACTGCTACTGCAGTTAATTCACTCAAGCTATGTTGTTGCACTCGATAAGACTATGAGTCGTACTGCAGTTAATTCACTCAATACTACTGCAGTTGTCTGCAGTTAATTCACTCAATACCACTGCAGGGAATTAACTGCAAACAGTATTGACTGCAACGACTGTGCTAACTACTGCAGTTAATTCACTCAATACTACTGCAGTGAATTAACTGCAGTAACAGTATTGACTGCAGTGACTGTGCTAACTACTGCAGGTAACTCCCTCAATACTACTGCAGTTGTCTGCAGTTAATTCACTCAATACTACTGCGGTGAATTAACTGCAGTAGCAGTATTGACTGCAATGACCGTGCCGACTACTGCAGGTAATTCACTCGATACTACTGCAGTTGTCTGTAGTGAATTCACTCAATACTACTGCAGTGAATTAACTGCAGTAACAGTATTGACTGCAACGACTGTGCCGACTACTGCAGGTAATTCACTCAATACTACTGCTGTTATCTGCAGTTAATTCAGTTAATACTACTGCAGTCAAGTATTGACTGCAACGACTGTGCCGACTGCTGCAATACTACTGCAGTTGTCTGCAGTTACTTCCCTCAATACTACTGCAGTGAATTCTCTGCAGTAGCAGGAGTGACTTCAATGACTGTGCCGACTACTGCAGGTAATTTACTCAATGCTACTAATATTACTGCAGTTAATTCACTCGAGAGTCGAAAGAGGATGCCATTGACCACAACAGAAGAAATGACCTCGTGACGAATAATGTGAGGCAAGATGAACAAGCAATTGTTACTGTTACTGTTATGGATAATGATTAAGCGGTAATAGTGAAAAGTGAAAAGTCGATGCAAGCATGACGTGATGGCTGACGAATGACGACTACGGTCCATGAGTGTGGTAGTCGCAGGCAGCCAATTTATTTATGACTAAAGATAGTTGCAACAAGGACGACAAATTCGGGAGCGCGTCACAACTGTAGCAGTTGACAAAATGCCTGGTGAATTGTAGATAGATAGGGAAAAAAAAAAAGAAAAAAAGAGAGAGAGAGAGAGAGAGAGGGAAAAAATAAGCCAGATATAAAAGGGAAGGGGGAAAAAAAAGAAAAAAGGAAAGTGCAAGAAAGAGGGGGAAGTCACACAGAATGTGCTGAACTTGCATCGAGTCGTCCCTCGACAGTCTGCAGAGCCCCCTAACAGATGATGCTGAATACTGGAAGAGCTAATCCACCTCAACAACAATTGCACGCAGGCACCAATCACTGGCCCACAAACTGATACCTCTCTGAGGAGGTGGGGACAACCAACCATTGCCCTCAAGGAGGGATACCTGCGACGAGGATGAAAGCAGGCTATCACCTACCCACACCCGATGGAATACTCAGCAGCCTGTAAGTTCACAGAACTTCACACCACATAATTAAGCCATCTTAAGAAGCAGAAAGGGAGAAAAGGCCCGAGCAACCGCGGACTGACCGACAGTTTCATCACACTCTCTCTCAGACCGATTCATCAGGAGGTTGAACCCTCAACAGTCCGCAGAGTTCCCTGACTGATGATGGATGATACTGCAATCGATACTCCACCTCAACCCCAGCTCTAAGGAGGCTTGAACCCCTACCCTACCCTCTAAAGTACCAATCTGCGACGGCAATCACAGCTAAAACCTCTTGCTTGACCCAGTCGGGGAAAGTGCAATAAAACAGTCAGTCTGTCACAGTCCACTGGTTCTCGACGTGTCTTCCTTTCTCCTTTTTCTGAACCAGCATCATTTCCTGCTATGGATCGCGGTCACGGCGATCTCGGCAGTTTGCTGTTGGGGGTGCTGTGAGACGTTCATTGCATCTGACCCTTATGACTTAGAGGAAGGAGACGTCGTAAGGAGCATTTAACAACAAACTTGTCGCAATCTAGTGCAAAACACATCCGGAAAAAAACGACTCCACAGATGGATGACACGGTTCCACTTCCCAATCGGAATATGCAGCGTGGCAGAGGCAGGGAGTCGTCTGGCTGCTCGTTTAGGTTTTGTGATGTAAAATAAAAAAAGCATGTACGTAATTCATCCACCATGACTGTCAAAATGATGAAATACTCCTAATTGTAGGCATACGGGGAACCCCGTAGCAGCCAGAACCGTGTTCACGAGAGTAGTGGTAGGTAGGTAGTGTGAGGTGAAATTGAGAGAAGAATATAGCTTTAAAAAAAAAAAAATAATAAAAAAAAATGATGAAATACACACCTACATCTGAGATAGTTACCGTCAAACAGAACCGCCCGGTAATCCGTAGGCAGAGAGAGGGAGTATAATATTGCATATGGATGTCAATTTAGGGAATTTACTCCCCAAGAAGGCTGCAAATGGGCTAGCATGCAAGCTTTCATAACGGGGGGCAGGAAAAAAGCTCAAGCCATAGTGAAGGTGAAGAGGTGGATTCATAGGGGGGGGAATAATGTGTGCTCATCCCTACAAAACAAAAGTGCGCATCCCTCTTCTAGAAGATCGTATTCGCTTGATCCCGTCAGGTGCCACCTTGACGATACATGACATCCATTCAGTCAGCAATACAAGTTACGTATTCTGCAACACAAGTCAATCCGTTCGTTGAATGGGTAATTTTAAATTTTTACTAATTTTCCAAAGCTGTCCTGGGGAGTCGGCAGACATGAAGTCCTCTCTCTCTCTCTCTCTCTCTCTCTCTCTCTCTCTCTCTCTCTCTCTCTCTCTCTCTCTCTCAATGTAGCTGGTGTCAGGGTACACCAAAGTAAGCTCTGCAGACTGGTGAAAAATCTCTAGACCACCAGTTCACACGACCCCTAAGTTGACGAAGCCACCACCGTTCCAAGCCCCGCGAGCCAGAGACTGCGCCTTTTTTTCAAACTGCCCTGCCGCGTTCACTACCGTCCCACGCCCGAATTGAAAAGCTTCTTACTGCGTATACCGCCGGAATTGAAAAGCGACCTTTTCAGCTTCGGGTGAAAAAGAAGAGCAAAGGAACCGGTAGTGTTGACAAAGCCACCACCGTTCCAAGGCCCGCGAGCCAGAGACTGCGCCTTTTTTCAAAGTGCTCTGCCGTGTTCACTACCGTCCCACGCCCGAATTGAAAAAGCTCTTAGTGCGTATACCGCCGGAAAGCCACCTTTTCAGCTCTGGGAAGTTCAGGTGAGCCGACGGTTTCAAGGGTGGAGAAGAGGAAGAAAGGAACGGGTAGTCATGGACTCGGCTAGCCAGCCTACAATACAATCTTCCAACTCCACAATCAAGACTTGAAACCAGATGGTTGTAGTCTACTCTCACGTGGCATCGATGGGCCGCCGCTGCACTGGTCAGACTGGTAGATTAACATGTCCTGGCAGAGTTCTGGTGTCTGCAAAAACACCTTCAGTGGGTGCTCCAGGCTCTCTCTAATGACTAAATTACTACTGACAGCTGTGCTCTCAAACACATACCCAGACTCCGCCAGATTTTTCCCGGAGAAGTACCGGTTGTTCAGCATATGGATAAAGTCACGGTGGTACTTGCGAAATTTCACTACATTGGCATCCATTTCTCCTACTCCCTCACCACAGCAGTAGTCAGGTCCAGAGCGCACTGGAATGGCCCCACCGTGTCTGCCTTGCCACACAAAGGTAGTTCAACTGAACTACAAAGGCCTGCAAGGAAAATAGTAAATACCCCTTCTCACAAGTGCCAGCGAAAGCGTTATGAGAACATGGATGGGACCAACAATGAGACCCCTTCTGCTGTCTCCACCCTGTGGTCTCCTGGTAAGGGAACGGAACACTCGCCAGTGAAAGCTGAATGAGAAGTCTGCCTTGGGACAAAAGAAGTACCCAACTAAAACGGCCTGCAAAATGCCTGCATGGAAAATACCTGTCCCGTTCTCGCTCGTGGCCTTTTCCGCTCTGTCATCTGCTGGCAAGGTAATGAAAGACGTGCACCGGTCACATGTGACTGAGAGGCTCCTCGCTCAAACCTGCATCAAACAGAAGTAGTTGGTAAACAGCATTCATTAAAAAAGTTAAAAAAAACTGTTTCATAATTTCATTGCATTCCTTACAAAAAACTTTCGAAAAAAGCGGCCGGTTTCCCATTAGCAAGCCTCGAGGTCCAATTCGCTGGATTTTGCTACCATGCCAAGACTCAACAGAACAGCCATGATTTTATTTACATATTTATTTATTTTGTGTAGATAGCCATGATTTTGAGAAACCAGTGACATCCAGCGGCCTAGCTCAGTTGGTAAGGCATGCAAGTGGCATTCAGGAGGAGGTATTGGGTTCAATCCCCATTGGTCTTATGTACCTTCCTGAACGAGCTTGGCGCTCACCACCTAGAGATATGTCGTTGGTCCCCCCGGGTGGCATCGAGCAGAGACTACTGATGTTCATAGGGGGAGGGCACCGGAGGGGAGGCATGTGCCTGACCCATCGAAGAAGCTCGGTCCTGATGCTACCGGCTGACCCCTGGCTGGTATCGCCCACCCGCTGGTGCGTGCAGCTCCCGCATGTTCCCTCGTTGGAGGCTTGAGCACGGATGTGGCTGCTACGGGGTTCCCCGTAATACTATAATTACAAAAAAAAAAGG